TTAAGCAGTTCTTGTGTTGTTTACTAAGTACATTTGTTTTTCAAAAAAGGGAGAAAAACCCTAAATCGATTTTCATTTGGGTAGGAGTACTTTGCTTTCTCATTTCAATGAAAACAATCCAAATGACCTGAAGTCCTCACTGAAAAAAAAAAAAAAAAAGGCATTATTAAACCCACTGAAACAAAACACTACAAAACAGATTTTTCCTTTCTCATGAAAGATTCACAGCACTACTCTGTCCTAGTTAAAACAGTTATTTCTAAAATTTAATTTATTATTTATGCTGCATTTAGGGTGACAGGGCACCCACTTAGTAAAGATTTATTTAGGAACTGTCTGCTACACCAAGAGGATGCTGTTCTCCCTTACCTTTATATACACACATATATATATACACATATATACATATATGCACATACACATACATATATATATATATATATAAGCAGCATCGCAGCAGAAACTGATCCATAAACAATTAGCAGGCATAAAAATCATATGGGAAACCAAGCAGAGCTCATATTTAGAGGATCTGGTCATGTGCACTGGCATCAGTTTTGGTGTATAACAGTTCTGATTTGCAACTTTAAAATATATGTATATATTAAAGACAATTGTATGAGGATCCTGGACATGCAGTAACACTTAAAATATATTACTGCACTTTGGACTTGCTTGGGATTTTATCTCAGATGTGTACTGTTTGATAAAGATGGTTAAGTTTTATCTTCCCCATTTCACTCTTTAAGACTGAATCACTGATAGACTAAACATTTTCTGAAGCCATAAGAAAGTTCTTTTTACACTGAAAAGAAAGTTCAGTTGAACTTTTAGGCTATATCCACATTGGCAAATAGTACAGACCAGAAGATGCAGATCTGCAGAGCAAAACAGTTGACAGAAAGGACCAGAAATCTACATTACCAGCAATTTTAATTTTAATTAATTTATTTATTTTTACTTAGGACTGTCTCTTGTTTAGTCCCACAGACTAAGTACCTATTCCTACCTGGACTATGTCAAATGTGGTTGGTTTACTTTTACCCAAAATTAATTCCAGTTCATGCACTAGAGACAGTTCCTCAACATGAACAAAAGCATAAACAGTGGAAACAGTCGCAAGATTTAATTTGGAAGTTCAGTCTTGATCCAAGCTAAAATGCAAAGGCAGACTCAGCCTTTGCAATGTCACCTGGACAGAGCCTGATTCAAAGCAGTGTGGAGCCAGCAGTGAGCTGAGGAGCTGAGGCAGTTCCAGAAGCTCCAGCAGAACCAGGTTTTGGGCCACCAGGTTTTCCTGCCAGGTGCCCTCAGCTATTCCTGCACAGATATGCTCTGCAGCTCTTGGGTTTTCATTCTGGCTGAAAACATGCAAAACTTGCTTCATACCACACATCATGCTGTGCATGAAAGCTATCCACGTGACAGACAGTCTTCCAGAGATAACAATAATCTTCAGGTGATGCCAACAATTTTTACAGACTGAATGTGTGCAGTGCTCTGCTGAGCCCAGCCACTCAAAACAGTCTGCTGAGCAACCAGAAAGAGTCTCCAGCCCTGCTATGCTCTGTCAGCTTTCCCAACCACTTCCAGAAATTAGTTCTGGGGACTTTGCTGATACATTTACATGAAGAGACAGTGCACTCTTCAGCTGCCTTGTATCCGTATTAGATTCTACTCACATATCACGTTCCATAAGAGTGCATGCACGTCTCAGGCATCAGGGACTTTTCCATGCTTCCAGAATACAGAAGTCTACGAAGGCAGCAACTTGTAGACTTCTCAAGTCAGCTTCAGTGGATTTACATGCCTGTGTAATGAAAATGGACATTGAGCTATTGCTTGACATCAGAGACCTGCTGTATCTGTGATGCAAACAGGATAATTGTTCCTCTGTTAGTTTTACTTTGAATAGATAGAAAAGGAGAAGAGAAATTTAAAGGCATAGAAAGAGAGAGGTCAAAACACACCAGAAAAACTCTAGAAAAATTTCTGAAAGAATATGGGTTTTTTTAGTATAAAAGATTGAATAGTTTGTTTATACTCTTGTGGCTTGAGGGACACATGTGAACACAGCATACTCCTGCTGAGAATTTTGGACCCAGCTAATTCTTAAGTGTAATGTAGACCATGAGAACTCTGGCCCCGAGCATTGTCCCAATATCCTAGAATTCTCAAGGTCTGCAAAAATTTTTTTTTTTTTGACTGGTCTGTAGAGGTTTGCATGTGGATGCAAGGCTTTTTATATGGAGATCCATTCCAAAGCATGTTAAGGTACCTCCTTACTATGTAGACAGAGCTGTTAAGGCTTTTCTAAAAAAATCAAAGAATATGGAAGTTTCATTTAAAAGTTGAAGAGGATTTAGCACCAGATCTTTAGTCCCTTATGTAACCAATTGCTACCTTGTACCTCATAAAATATAGTAGAGCAGTTGAACTGAGGGCACTATAACATGTACTTCGAATCTACCTAAATGTATAAAGTAATAAATTACAGTGAGTTATCCTAGCTTTTTAACTGGCATTCCAACTCCATTTGCCTTTCTAATGCATTTTGAAAAAGATAAATGCCCAACAGTTAAGCTGCACATATGCTTCTTACTCCTTTATATTATTTCCTATAAATAAAAATACAAATGCTTGTGGTCATGCAATTTGATCTTTGAATACATGGTACTATAAATCTAGTCATGATACATTTCCCCTGAAGATAAATATGACATTTTCTTTTAAGATGCAGGACAAAAAGGTTCTTTCTTAAGCACATAAATACCTAATAATTCAAATAGCCACTTAGCCCCAAAAGTAAAGACATTGCTTCTGGACATGGGCAGTCACTGGATACATGGTCTCCATGCCAAGCAAAAAGCAAACTCTTAGGAATCTTTCAGGGACAGAACTGTGCTATTGTCACGCCTTTCCCCATATTTTCTTGACACACCTATTTTTCCTGTAGTTTTTCTTGTCTTCTGCCTTTTCAGTCATGCTAACATCAAATCTCCATTTCTTATCCTCCAATCCCCTTTATCTCTTAGGCTGTCACCTTTTATAGTAAACCCCATGGTATACTACACATTTCCTACATATGCCATAAGAAAGGTCTCTGGTCCATTTGTGGTTGTTTTTTTTTTGTGTGTGTGTGTGGGGGGGGGGTTGGGTGTGTTTTTGTGTTTGTTTTTTTTTTTCTTTGTTTTGTTGTTGTGACAATATTATTATACATACTACAGACACACCATAACACAGAAAATTCCTTAAGGTGTAAGCAGAACCCATCTGCTTTTAACTCCACAACATTAAAATGATATCTTGAGTTTGGACTTTGCCACTTGCCTGCCACAGTAGATATGATGTTCTAGGAGTTGAAAATGTTAAACATACTAACAGTTGATATCTAAGTACTCTTTACAGAGTTTACTTTCCATGTATAGAGGTATCCAATTTTGAAGTACAAGGAAAATTAATAATGAAAAAGAGGAGGAAGATTTTCTATGAATGAACCAAAATGAAATAGGATTTGATTTTAGGATCAAGTTTATATTTTATATAGGAATGTCTGTATTCTGTGTCAATGACTCTACTTTGAACTTACATGCTCTGCTTCGCAATTGAAACTATTCTTTCCCTTTAACTGAAGTTACCAAAATATAGTCTGCATCAACATTGATTCAACACATCATCATCTAAACCAAGGTGATAAAGCTGGTATTTATATTGTCAGGGGACTGATTACAGATGATGGCAACGACCATCTCAAAAGGTATAATTCTCTGCCACAGTGTATATCAGTATTTTTCTTAATTATTTCTGACATTTTACCTATTACTCCAAGGACTTTCTCAGAGGGCGGAAATAAAGGGGAAAAATGGGTTTTGTGGCACAGATGAAGAAATACATCTTCTGTAAGGAATTCCCAGAAGAAATCTTGGAAATCTTATGGGGTCAGGCAAGAGGCAAGAAAGTAGTATTTGTCACCTTTGCTGAATTGGTCATCTAAACTTACAGTAGCACTAAAGCTGAGTGACTTATCTGCCACCCCTTAGGGAGGACGAAAAGTGAGGATAAAGAAGTATAAGGAGAAAAAAAAGCACATTGTGAAAGTATCACCTAGAAGGCTGCCTAAAGATTTTGATCTTTCAGCTTCTTATCTCCTATTTCCCTATAGTGGATATGGCCATGACTTCTGTTATTACAAACCACACACAGCAAAAATGAAGAACCGTACAGCAGAGGTTACGGCAAGAATAAAAGTTCACCAAGTTTAGGACAAGAAAATAATATCTGAGGGTGGCTGGGAGAAAAATGTCTAGCTGAAGAGCTGTACAGATGCAATAGGAATAGACAATGATCACCATCTACAGGGAATATTAAGGTAGGATGAATGACAGGCAACCCACAAAATCCAAAGATGCCTTGCACATGAAAAAGCTTGTTACAAGTCAGCACTTTTGACATGAGTTTGATACAGGATGGACAAGTGGGTTACAAAAAGCAAATTGTTATATAGCTCTAAAAAAATTTCAAGCACAGTTGGCTGCTCAGCTTAATGACACCATTATTAAACTCTAGATAGTAAAACAGGCTATGACAGAGCTTCCTGCTCTTACCTTAAAAACATATAAAGACTACAGTCATCTCAGAGCAATGCACAAAAAACATCCTCTGAATTCTCCAGCATCCCATGTTGATGACCCACCAGCATGAGCATGGTTAGCAAAACATGAGTTTTACATAGCTTTTGGACCTATTTGATCTTGCGTTACACAAATAGAAATAAAACTAACAGCACTCCACAGAAGCTCCTACATATAGAAATAGATTGTTAGGCTTAACAGGGTTTTTAACATGGGCTACTTAGGACATAGCAGGAGCATTTGAATTATTCTGTATTTAACAGAATGAAACATCTATCTTTCAGGATTTCACTAGTCAGGTGGTTTGTCCATAATTTACACTCAATCAGAGATGAAAATGCCTTTTTTTCCTCTACTTGTAGTGTTGACTGCATGGTGGCCTGCCTTTAAGAAGGCATTCACTGCCTACCTCTGAGAGATAGAAGAGGAAGGGTGAGTGATTTTCATGCTCTGGCACTCATTGTAGGCTGTTTAATTTGTCAGGACTACTAGGCCATGGTTTTGTGCTTTGACAGGTTTTTGTTATTCCTGCTAATCCCATTTCTGTTGTGTAATGTGCGTGGCAGCATCTGGTGACAACAGAATAGAACACCTAATTGTGAATGAATACAGAGAGCCCTGTTCTGCCACATTGCCTGTTGCACTATTTTTGCATTTTTATGGCTGAGGGTGGGCTTCCAGGAGCTGCAAAGCAGACAGCCCATCGTTGTAATCAAATTTGCCATTTGCATGTGTGTGTTCTCAGCAATCTTCGTATTTCCACGGCCCTCAGGATTCCTTGAGTTTGGTTTTCTGGCTCCCTCTTCTGAAGGGAGAGGATGATCAATATATTCATTAAACAACTTATCTTTAATTATTAAGTCACAATGTGAAAGTGGTGGTTTGAAGTGCATTTGGGTGTCACTAAAAGGAGCAGTACGTGAGGAGAGCCAGTGCAGTACCTGCAGAGCTGTCATTGCCTTCACCCGTTGCATGGCTGAATTCACTTGCTGGACACAAGGATCAGGAGCTGCCTTGGAGATCTCCTCTCCATCTGAGTATTTTTTTTGTTGCACCATCCCATTATGATTTGTCAGTGACTAACTAGGTCCAGATCCTATTCTGCTTTGCCACTTGAGATGTACTAGGCTTGGGAGCCACAGGCTGTGCTCAGCATTGCTCAAATAGATAGGCTTAGAAAGTTGTATGGAAATGGATCACTGACCATAAATGCTTCCAAATGCAGGATATCTGTTTTTAAGTAGGGTCTTACAGATTTTGGGGGAAGGAGTTCAGCTCAATGTCTTTAAAAGTTCCTGAAAGTAGATTACTGATTTAGTCAAGAGTTTATACAAATACTCTCCTGGTGGGGTTCTAATCAGATGGCTTCATCTGTGTATAACTTAAACTGGTTCCAGCTAGTGTCAGTATTGCAACTTAATGCCCTCACTTACAGGAAGTGGTGAAGCTTCTTTTGCAAGAAGCTAGTTTTGGTGTAACATAGCTCCCCAAAATACTGATAGATCAGAGCAGTATAGAATAATACAGGATGGACCAAGGTTATTATTTTACAGGACAGATATTTTGAGTAGATTGATAAGCCTTTAACAGAATCACAAAATGGGTGAGGGGAAAAGGGACCACAGCGGGTCATCTGGTTCAACCTTCCTGCTTAAGAAGGGTCATCCTAGACTACCTGGCACAGAATTGCATCCAGATGGTTCTTGAAGGCCTCCAGTGAGGCCACAACCTCTCCTGGCAATCTGTTCCAGCATGTGGTCACCTGCCCAGTAAAGTTCTTCCTCATATACAGGTGGACCCTCCTGAGCATCAATTTCTGCCTGTTGCCACTTGCCCTATTGCTTGGCACTCGAGAGCAGAACTTGGCTCCATGCTGTTGACACTGTCCCTTCAGAGACTTACAGACATAGATGAAGTGCCCTCTCAGCCATCTCTGCATGAGGCTGAACAGGTCCAGCTCCCTCAGCCTTTCCTGGTAAGAGAGGTGCTCCAGGCCCTTCTCATTTTTGTTGCTCCCAGGTGGACCCGCACCAGGAGCTCCACATCTCTCTGGTACTGGGGACAGAACTGGACACAGCACTCCAGAGCTGAGTAGAGGGGTGGGATCACCTCCCTGTGGTGTTCTCTGGGTGTCCTCTAACCCAATCCTCCTTGACCAAACGACTGCAGACATTTTCAGCTTAGATTCTTCCCAGACAAAAGCATTAGTATTGCATAACAAGACTAAAAAAAATCACTGCCCACATCAATCCTGCAAAAACTTCCAAAAGATTAATTAAAACAAAGCTCTAAAATCCAAGAGATCTGAAGTATATGAACAACAACAAACATCAAAAAGAAAAACTTAAGGGAGAATGTTCAGAATTTTAAATTAAAATGCAAGCTTCAATTTCCTCCTGGTAATGCTTGGTATAATTTTTCTCCCAGTAAACAACACAACTCTTCTGTATTTACCACAACAATATGGAATCAAAACACAAAACCTGTTGGATACAGCAACCAAGAAAAGATCTAAAGCTTGTATAAAATTTAATGGATTATTTATACATTTTTCTAACTCTCCTGTATTATAGAATGTTGAATTTAAGAAGTTTTAAAAAGGTGGTCAAATTAATACAGTAAATATGGAAGTAGTTTCAGGACTGAAGTATGAGGCAGCATACAATCCACATGTGAAACTAAGATCTTGTCTTATGCTTTCTCTTATCAGCTACAGTTCAATTCTAAACTGAGTTCTAAGAAACATAAGATAGTGTGAAAGCAAAAATATTTATGTACGCTATGCATACAAAATAGACAACCAAGGGAGAAATGTTCCTCCTTATCAAAGCCTTGTATTAGATGTATCCTTCTTCTAAGCATCTGTGGAGAAGTTCCCCAGAAAAGATGCCTTTCATCAACTATGGGAGCTGTTATTCGTTATCATCATCTGTTTACAATCAATGAGAACAGTTGGATGCTCAGCAGTCTTGAAAATTGAACCAATTATTTAGGTCAGTAGTTTTTAACCTTTTTCTATTTGTGAACTCTTAAGCATTTTCCACTGGATGTGAGGCACTGTTAGAAATTTTGCTCATGTAGATAGCTGTCACTTTCTTTGGCACTTACAACAAACTGTCTAGAATTTATCCATTCCCTTTCATCTCCTTATGAAAATATTCTCAGACTCCAAGATGAAAAAAACCCAAACCATAATAGTAAAATATATACATTTTTGGATAAATTAAAAAAAAAAAAAAAAAAAGGCTATCTGAATCCAAATGCTTTTAAGCACCTTGAAAAGTATGCAAGCAAAACTTTCTCAGTTTGAATCTATGTTATTCTGATTACAATCCAGGACAAGCACAGTTTCCCACTGTCATGAGCAGTTGCTGCTCAGGCTCAGCCCTCTGGAATCCTCCCTGTCCCTGCACTGGGGTCCATGCACTGGCCTCCATCATGTATCAGCACATGTTTCTTTTCTGTTCAGTGAGCTGTGCTCTGAGACCAAGAGTATTCAGGTAGGGATGAGCCTCTTTAACCAACAACTGCTACTAAAAATATTTAAGTAAAACACTGTACCCCAGAAGCATTTTTGGTGCTACAGTCTTCAAGAAAAACATGAACATAATTTTCAACAGAGAGGGAGAGAGAAAAGCAAAGACAAGCAAGGGACGACCCTAATTCAGTCATAGCAGCACAAATTAAAATGTCCCAGTTCCATCCGGTTACACTCCCAAACATGCATTATAAGCAAGCAGGATGGCTTGGGGTTACCTGGGGAAGGAGCTCTGACTGAGGTCTGGCCACAGGCAGCTTCTGAAGTTCCACTTGAAGGTACCTCCACTGTGTTTGGTGACTGGTGGCAGGAGAAACTGCTTCTGGCACTCATGTGAAAATGGTTCCGCTCACACATCTTGCTGTGTCAGAGTCACTACAGCAAATCCAACCAAATCCAAGGATCACACACTGAGCAGAGATTTGAAATATTTCTAATGTCATTTTGGTGTTTATTGTAATTATTATAGTTACTGGGATACACTGCAATGACATACATTTAATTGTATCTCCATTAGATTATGCTACAGCAGGTATATTTTTACAGCCAGTGTGGAGAACACAGAAAAGTCATATTAATGAGAGCAGGCTCTTAAGGTTCCAAAGCAGTTTAACTTCTGGTCTCAGCTCAGGCAATGAAGCAGCATACCTAGGTCAGCCCTGTGGAGGCTTTGGTGATACCTAACACTTTCCCTCTGGGAAACACTCTGAACCAACAACGGGCAAAAAACTTTAAAAATGTAATTGCTGAAAATGTAACTTAAAAAATGTAACTGCCTAAAAAAAAGAAAGGGTTGGAAGGAGGCGAGACCCTTCCTGGTTTTAATGAAAAAAAACCTTTAGGGGTGACTACTGTATTTAAATTAAATCTATTTGCTTTTTGCACAGTTCGAATAGATGCTTTTTAATTATTGCTAATTGTTTAAGATATTGTTGTATCCCCCTGAAGATTTAAACTGAATAAATTTAATTCCTTTAAAATATCCTTCAGCTACAGGCAATACAGTAAGAAGCCCCATAGGTATGGCAGTAAAAATAACCATAAAGGCATAAGCATTTAAATGAGGAGAGCATGGAATACTTCCCACTAGACTGGAAAAAAAAAAAAAAAAAAAAGAGAGAGAGAGAGGGGGAGAGCAAAGAGACAGAAAAGAAAAGAAAGAAAGGATGTGTGGGGGGGGAAGCTATGTGTTTTGGAGACACAAGAAGCAAACCATGAAACACACAGTTGAAACATTTGGGATGACTATGAAAAAGGTCTATGTTCACTTGTTAAAGAATGCGCTAGGGCAGACTAAAGCATATGAATGGCCCTTTCACAGGTCACAGATTCTATTCAGTTCTTGGACATTGTTATTATCCGACAGAAATAGATGGGCCTAATTAATATTCTGGACATACCTGAGAGAACATTCTTAAGGAAATCATCCTCTGGTGGTTTAGGTTTGTTGTGTTTTGGGGGTTTTGTTTGCTGTTGGGTTTTCTTGGGTGCTATGTGCTTTTTGATTTTGTTTTCAGCAAACAGCAAATGCAACAAATAGCATCTGGTTAAAAAACCCTATGACTACAATTTTGGTCTTAAAAGTTTAATAAAGAGTCTCTTTCTGAATATATTTGTTTATGCAAAGACTTGGATTTGTTTTTTTTTTATTTTATTTTAGTAAACAATTTTGCCCTGTAGATTAAAGCTGAACTGCACAGTCATTTTGCAAGCAATTATATTCTTGGCACTTTTCTGAACATAATATAACAATTACCACCGCAAATGCATTTTATCAGAGCACTCCAAGCATGCAGCAGGTTAATATTAGTGTTCAGCAACTTCAGATAATATTTCTAAGATGCTAATGTTTAGCCAGTTTCAAATCAGCAAAGAGCTTCTGATTGGAACTGGG